TGGATGTGACTTACCGTTTCATAAATCCAAGCTAAATTGAGATACATGACAGAGGAAAGAGATGTCAGAAACTTGTCATTTGGATGTGAACCAATGTATAATACTTTGGCCATGACAAGACAAGGAGGCATATTCTCGATCAAGCAAGCCTCTTCAGAAGAATCATAGATATCAAGGATCTTCAATCCAGGGGAATCTATAATTAGAGAAGAATCAAATATATTGTCATTTTTATACCTTAGGAGCTGTAAAGAAGGCACTTTCACACTGAACTTTGTCACATTGTCATTCACATCTTTATGTCGGTCCACAAACAAATTTTGGAGAACAAGACAACTTGACAAAAGCCTAACGAGCGAATCCTCGTCCTTATAAACCACACAGTCAAGCCCCAGTTCTACAAGCGATGGGAGGGAAGTTTCGGAAGGTACGTCAATGAGAATCTTGTTTGAGAGAGTCAATTTCTTGAGCGTTTTGCAAGTGTATAGACTCTTAGACAAGCTTCTGGGCCTTGTTGACGATAGTAGTCTAAAATCAAGCCATTGAATGCAGCGGTTAACAACGTTATCAACCCATTTTCCGACATCTACGTTAACGGGGAATGATGGACCGAGGTGAATACTCAACTTTTCTATTACAGGTGCTTTGCTGAGTTGTAATAATGACTTATCAATGCCCCACCAAACGCTCTCATCGCCTTCATTGTATGTGTCGATGTACTCGAGCCTAGGCAACATCTTCCAAACAGAACGCCATCGTTTAGACAATATAGCCGTGGCCATTGCATCTTTAGTCGGAATCAGCAACATTATTTGCACTAGTAAATCTTCGGGTAAAGCACTAATTCTGTCTTTGCAAAGTGTTTGTTTAATTTTCCGACCTGGTTTCATCTTGCATCTTTTAAGATAGTCTCTCAAAAGCAGTTTATAAATAAACTTAGACAAATAAAACAGATTAGTCAGAAACCGTAACTCTTTTGTTACTTACTTTACTTGCCGTCCCTGTCAAGAAAGAAAACCCTAGTTAATTTTATGTTTCTTGCTGGTTAGGTTTTCTTCTTTCAACAAACAAAAAAATCGATTTTTCTTGGAAGTTATTCATTTATTGTGAATTTAGGGCTTTTTGTAATTGGGCTTAACCTACTTTATGGATTTTGTCGACACTCTAGTGAATCTGTGTCTCCTATTGACGGCGACTCGAGTGTAGATTCTTCTAGGGTTTCCAAATTGTAACCCTAGCTAATGAAGCCGCCTATACTTGTGCTTTATTCATTCATCTAAGATTCTAAGGAGTTTATTATTGAAGGACTCGATTGCAGAGGAATAACTTTGTCTATAATTCAGAAAAAAGGGATGATGAGGTCATTGTATTTTCCCAAATGTAGACAGAGCAAAACCGTGATGACGTCAACAGAGTTTTGTAGATGGTAAACATGAATATAATAAATCAATAAATCCATTGGTATCTTCTTTTGCTTTTCTACGTTATTGCTTATTTCTATGACTGATTATCATGAGAACACTGAATCAATAAAATTCAAGAGCTTGTGAAGAGCCTCTCTGGTCAACAGGGTCTGGTCCATTGAAGCATAGGAAAACATTAGGCTTAAATAAGCGGGTTTGGAAATGGTGCTTTTTCATAGCATCAACAATAGTTTCGAAGCCCTTGTCTTCTGAGAGTACCAGCACACATGATGGATTAGCACGATCATTCATTGCCGAGAAAAGAATGGTCGTTGCCATGGTAGTAGATCTGATAGTTTTACCACCTTCGAATAGTATATCAAGGTAGTTAGATTACAATCTTTTTATACATACAAATATAACTAGAAAATAAAGGGAATTCACCTTGCCCTACTACTTGGATATATATTTCCGAGGACGCAAATTTTGCATACACAGCATATTCAACTGAATCGACATCAACAAAAGCCCAGACTGACTCACGCCCATAATAACCCTTATCTAACAAAGCTGTTCTGAGTTTTTCAGCAGTCGACACAGGATCGACTTTTGTAAGGATTGAGGAATCCTGAACGTCCCAGCAGACGAATATGTCACGACCTGCGAGTTTGATCGTGATGAATACAATAAAATATAAACATTAAGCAAATAAAGTTTGATCGTGATGTTGAGTATTTTGAATTTTAAAAGTTTAGGTCACTTGTGAAATATGGAAGCAAAGGCTTTAGTTAGGGAGAAGGCTCAAACGGAGGAGTCCTATACTCAAATTCTAGATGACGGGCAACAAAGAGGACGCTCCGGTATATTCAAATTTGAAGTGCTCTATATTAAACGGCTCTTGGAAAAAATATAGTTGCCATATAAATTTAGAATTTTTTTTTGTTGTTATTTGTATGAAATTTATAAAATTGAGTTATTTTTCAGTATTTGGAGTCTTGGAGATATGTAAAATGGAGATGTTTTCGACACAACAGGATTCTTTGAGACAACCAAACCATAAAATCATCACATATTCATGTTCTCCCTCTTCGGTATGCATGAATGTACGTGTAGGTAGGTTAGTCTCAAATACGTATCAAATATCTCTTTTGCTGTCGTTTTTCATCTTCAAAATATTGTTTGTGTTTCAAATCGATGTGTAGGTGGGAGGATGGAGGTTACAGAGATCGACCAAGGATCTACCTCATTGTTCCAGGACTGTTGGTGCTGCTTCCCATAATCCTATCTAAAGTTCACAACAAGCGTTATTGGAAAGAAAAAGATTTTTCGAAAGGCAAAGATCTTTGGTAGGCCGAATGTTCAAAGAAGATTTAAAACCTA